TCACCGTGACCCAGACCGACCCACATTAAATTTCGTTCTACTTCGCCGTCTGGATGCTCTCGCGCTACTAACTATTCACAGAGAAAAAAAGTTTTGACATTCAGGAACATGTCACAGTATTGAAAATTTTTGTCTGAAATTTCCGGTACACTTTTTGGAAATTTTTATCGAATTTAATTACTACCGAAATTTCGCGGAATTGCGTCATTGAAATTTCAGAATTTCGTAGAAAAATCAAAGAGAATTATAAATTTCAGTTCTATTTTTCCCTGAGAATGAATAGAAACCCAGAAAATTCTAGTAAATGTATTTTTGAATTCTCAGGACAGAAAAAATCATGAAATTTCAGATTTTACTGAAAATTAAATGTAATTTGGCGCTGAATATTCATATTAGAGTGGAAATTTGAATAAATTAAGAAATTCTCGTCTTTATGCTGCTTAAAATTCTAGAAGTTTATTGAATATTTAGTGAAACCTGAAATTTCAATATTTTTTTCCCCTAAATCGCATTCAGTGTCACTGTTATGAAAATTAGTAGTCAACTGTCCATGAAATTTCATTTTTATTTTCAACAGTGCACTGGTTTCCAGAGACATGTTCCTGATTTTCAGAAAGTCATCCCCAATTATTAGGAATTCGCGATTCTGAAATTCAATGATTCAGTGACATTAGCACCAATTTCCTGTAAAAGCACTAATTTTTATGAATATCATCATTAATTTTCAAAGTACTATCACTGATGTTCAGGAACTCATCTCTAATTTTCAGGGATCTATCATCAAATTTCAATCATAAAAATCACTGATGATCAGGGTCATTCTGCTCAGTGTCCAGCGTCGCCAATAATTCGAAATAGATGTCTGAAACTTGGAGACATATCTAGGAGAATCAGAATTTTTCTTTCTCTGTCTCTATCACTGGCTATTTGGTGAGAGATTTATATAAATCAGAGATGGGTTCCCGAAAATTAGTGACAATGTCACCAGAAATTAGTAATAATGACACTAAAAATTGGTGACAAAATCACAGAATTTCGGAATTTTGCACTCGTTGACTTCCAAAATTGCGAATTCCCAATAGCTGGGGTTAGATCCTTGAAAATCAGTGAAAATGAAAACTTTTCTTTCTGTTTTTTACGTACATCTTTCAATGGAATGAATATGTCACTAATATATTTTCTGAAGAATTGAGCAGTCCAACGTCTTGAATTTACGAAGGGAAGTGATTCATCATCTTAGAAATTGTTTCCTCATTCCGGGATATTTAAGTACTTAAATTTCATCTTTATAAAACATCTTGAAACCTCAATTTTGAACACCGTCAAAACGCATTAGTTGATTTACTATGTCCAAAATTATATGTTGGAGAAACATAAACCTTAAAAATTTTATGATGTGGTTTAATACACAAAAATTATTCAGTTCGTTGATTTATTATACATTCAACTATAATTTTTCACGCAAAAATGAAGTTATTATTTTTAGTTTCTTCGTTGCGACGGGTTTAGTACCTCTTCAAGGGTAAAATTATGGGTATAAAGGTGGGAGAATAATTGATTCCGCATTAATTGTGACGATTATTTTTACTCTCAGAGTCTCGACCCGTAAAATCATTGCGTCTGCGTTATTTTGTGTAGCCCACACTGTTTTACAGCGGTAATTATTTGATAATTTTTTATTGTACTCCATTGTCTATAGCAACGGAGAATGTTTTGCGAACGATTCTTTTGGCCGAGATTCTGAGAGAAAAATAATCTTCCGAATAATGTTTGAGCCTCGAAATTATTCGGGTATTTCCCTCAAGGTTCCCGACACCTGAGTTCTTCGTTTGTTTGCAACAAACCTGTCAGAAAATACCCAATAATTTTAACGCTCTCGTGGTATTATAAATAAACAATTGCTAAATGATCTCAAAATTATGAAAATAAAACCTCTAATTATTTCATGTTATATGCTGATAAAAAATATACAAATATTTCAAGACAGACCCTTTTTATTAATCATTTCTTTGGGAAAATTTACATGATTTTTTCTCCTTGAAATACTGAACGTGGAAATTTTCTAAATATATTACACTGTTGAAAATTTTCGTAAATAAAAATTTTCAACAGGTGACATTTCCATTGAAATTTTGGGAAGTCTCTTCTTTGAAAAATTATAATTGGATTAGAAGATTAATGGAAAGTATGAAGATTAATGAAAAATTTGTGAAAAATTACGAAAAATCCGGTGAGTATATTTGAGACTTTTCAATAAAGTCATGAAGAATAATCCATAATAAAAATTATCCCAGATATATCGGTGAAAATTAGCTGAAAATACCATAGCATACATGTACAATTTCATTTTATACGTGAATTTGGAAGCGAAAAACTTATGTTTGGCAGAAATATCCATATTTAATAGAGAATTCAAGTCAGTTCTGAAATTTCTATCTTATTCCTATTTAAAACTATCTGAGTTTGCTTGAATTTCAGATGAAACTTGAAATTTCATAAGATTTGGCTTCCCAAATCGAATTCAAAGTCACTCTTCTTCATGAAATTGCAATTTTTTTTTCAACTGTGCAGAGATAACTAGTTCATTACCATTTTTTTGAGGAATGGTTTATCGTCGCGTATTGCGAAACATTCACCAGTTCAATTTTTTTTCTGTCATCAATACTGTTTATGACGATATCACTGCATTGCTGAATAATTAATGATGAGGAAAGCGCAGAGTGAATGATAATAAGTGAACTCGTCGCTGGAAACTGCAATATTAACTGAAGACGCAGAGCCAACGAATCTTATTCACTTCCGACGAGCTTTATAGTTGTCACCTCGACCGAAATTTGTGGAAATGAAGTCATTTGGATGAGTGTCGTGTGTTCTAAACCCTCTACAAACGATCTCCCATTCTGACATTGAGAAACGAGAATCAATTTTGCAAAATTATGTTTTCGAATTTGAAAAAGATTTTCTTTGCTGAAAATTCATTTGCGGTAAAATTGATTGATAAATCAAGCTATATATTATTAAACTGTGTAAACGCGCCCTGAGTATTAGAAGATAACTATTAAAGAATGCTTGTTATATTTGGCAGAAGGAATAAAAATATTCTAAAAGGGAAATTCTAAAAAAAATATTCCATTTCAGAAAATTCACAGTACTAAAAGTGGCATTTTGACTAGAATAGTTGTGTTTCTGTAAAATTTCACGAAAATTACGCAGAGAAAAATGAATATCATGGAATCCTCAGTTATTCTTCATTCTATACTGTTCAGTGAATTTTCAAGTGTGCTGAGTAGGGAAAGGCAGCTATTGCCGGTCAATGGGTAATTCCGGTCAGACTTATTTTTCGAAAATGAATCATTCTTCTGTGAAGGAGACAATCTGATGATGTTCAGACGTCTGTTCTCATCTATAGACAATTTTTGTTGTATATTTTTCAGGGTTTAATCACTGAGAAAAAGATTTTTTATTTTCAGGAATAGGTCATTTTTTAAAACATATCTCTTATTTCCAGAAGCATATCACGAATTTTGAGAAATCTATCACCAATTGTTAGCGATACTGAACATAACTAAAATAAACCTGATTATCAGTGATTTTCATTACTGAAATTTCAGTAATAGATTCAGTAATAGATTCGTCAAAACTACACGGAGAGAAAAGTTAAATTTACCTAGAAAATCGTGGCAAATTTTACTGTACGAAATCATGGAGTGAAATATAATTAAATGAAAATATACATGTTTGTGGAGGATATTTACGATTTGTTCGGTAAAAAAAACATCTACAGATGCAAAAATTATCCTTTTGTACAGTAAAATTTTCCAAACCGGTAGAGTATTTTTTTTCTTGCGCCCATCTGAAGGTCCTGAGGACGAATGGAAGTGAAATTTTACCGAACGCGTTCGATAAAAAATCATTCTCTGTTATAGAAAAAAATATAGGGAAGGATTTATTATTCATAACTCAGAAACAAATTGATCAATTGAGCTCAGTTTAGGCTCGTCACAAAGGGAAAGAATTGTTCTTTGTTTTGAAAGAAAAATTTTTTAAATTTTATCAACATTTCAACCCCTTATTAACATTTTAAAAAAAGTCAAAAGTGTCCGTTTTACCCCAACCTCCTCGCAGGGGTGAGCAGTCATTCACATTCACTGGTATAAGTTTTGATGGAATGCAGGGTAAATTTTACAGTTTCGGCACAAATTACCGTCACGTTCAGTAAATCTTCCCGGGCCAACGGAGAAAAATTCACTATTAGTCTCGCACTTTTTCCCCGACACAGAATGTAAAACTACTGAAAATCGAATTCGCTCCACGATTACTTGACTTGTTCGGTAATTTTTCTCCAACTTTATTCTTCGTGTAGAAATCAGTGGCATTTGCCTGAAAATAAGTGATACACGATGTTTTGTTGTTTCGATGTTGTGAAGTTGAATGCAATTTCAAATGAAAGCGGCCACTAAATTTCTCATTCATCTTGAAAATTCAAGAAAATTGGGTTTTTCAGTGTCGAATACATCTGAAAATCGAGATTCACTTGAAATTTCAAGAGTAATTTTCTAACAGTGTAATGTCACTGAAAATCATTGACAAAATCCCTGAACTTCTGAATTTCACACTCATTGAATTTCACAATCGCCAATCCTCAATATGCCCCTGAAAACCACAACTTTTTTCTCTCTGTGATCACCGAAATGTATTTTTGTTCCTCCATTTCTCCCGAATTGTTCTCAAATAAAATAAATCCGCTGAAAAATGTGTCCCCAACTGCGAACATATATTCCTGCCAAAAATCCCTTTATCTCCCACAAATTAGTGTAAGAATAAAAGTGCAAGTAGGTGTCGACGAAAACAAAAATATTTTTGTTTTTCCCGAGCGTGTCGGACCACGTGTGCAAAGGGGTGCAAACCCGATGCTAGTGAATCGTTGGCATTTCGAAAAAGCATAACGGGAGGCAGGTCTGCAGTAGTCAGCCTGTAGTGGAGGGCTTTCTACATATAGAAGGAGCGTGCGCGTTCCAAAGCAATTCAGTCTCTTCCCAACCACGCGAAGACTCAAAGCCTTCAGGCAATGTTATTAACTTCCACGAGATTAAATTAATTTTTCATTTCACTCTCCAGTGATTCGGTCACTAAATAAACCAGTAAAAATTAGTAATCGAGTGTTGAATCTCTTTGTTTATAAAAAAAAATATAATAATAAGTGAAAGTAATTTCGGTTAATTATTGTTGGTGAGTGTTTGAGTGCAATAATTTTTCTTTCATGAATTATCACGTGGAATGCTGATTATTAATCGAGTTAAATTTTTCTTATCAGAAAAACTGTTTTTTCATTCTCTGGAATTTCGTCAATTCAGCGATTAAAATCAGTATCCCCTATCGCAAATAAATCGATTCTTGGCATGATAATTCGATAATTATCAGTGTGAGCTACCACAGATTGCATCTGTTATCAATGGCAATGGAATAGATATCAAGAGATCAATATGAACTTTGTAAATTTCTGATACTCAGAGTAACGAGAGTGACAACGATCTTCCGATTGTCGTTTCAGATACACCGTGACGAGTCCTGTCTCACTGACATCATGGAGCAGAGTAATATATCGATTGTGACGTCCAATGGCATCACTGAGACTGCCAACGGAAAAGCTAAGACAACTATCAGTCTGCCCTCGGCTGCCAGACTCAGCAATGCTGCCAAGATCAAGGCTCCTTGTGAGTAAAACGATGAGAATTATTATTTTGGAATTCAGTAATGGGGCAGGATATTTCGGTAAATAAGTCGGGAATGAGTGGCTCCAGGAGAAAATGTCAAAAAAACTATTCTTTTGCGGTAAAATGTAATTTCTTCTAGAGTATTCCATTTTTTTGCAGAAATTCTAGTAAAAACTAAATAATCTTCGTAAAGATGACAATACTTTTGGTAAAAATTACAAGTAAATTAGATAAAATGTAAGACACGAAGGGATCTTTGGCGATTATAATAAGTGAATAGATTACACAATTTTTTTTCAATTTTTCAATGGAGAGAGCAGACTTTAGGAATATGAATGATGGGAATACAAATATCACTATTGCAATTGAAAATTGCCCACCACAAACCCACCTTTTGTTTTTGTTCTGTTAATCTATTTTTGTATTTTCGGAAAAATTACTACGAATTATCAATTGTAATGTTTACTTATTTCTCTAACGACTGATATTAGAATATGTAAAACAATAATTTTCGTTGCAAAATACTGAAATAATTATAAATCAATGAGACAATTTAATTCGTCTCATTAAAATAAATAGAAAAAATATTGGAAAATTCTGTGGTCTTTCAAACAATTTTCGAACAGATTCGCAAATAATATTCGTGCGAAGTAGTTGAAAGTCCGCCGTAATTTCGACCCAAATGGGAAAGAGAAAAACCGGGTAGAATCGGGCAAAGTTTATTTATCTCCTTCGATCCTGGAATACTAATCCCCGCGATTCGTTGTGAATTGAAATAAGTAGGTCCTCACGGTCAAAGACCTCCTCACCAAAACAAATATCCTGTTTATATTTTTCCAAAGCAATTTTCGGAATAGAAAGTCTCGTTTTGTCTCCCCTCTTCTGCGTCAGCACCACTGCGCGGCGCACTGCATACACTTAATGATGCCGGAGACTATAAATGAGTTGGATTGTAATTAAATCGTAATTAAACAGTGCTTGTGATGATATGACACGTTGGATGGGTTGAGTATGATTGTGGGTACTATCAGAGGTGGTCGTGAGACTCAAGGTCGCATTGGAAATTTTTTTCATACTTCGGTGGAGGGGGATGCGGGAACTGTTGTGGGTTGGACGCCCCTCTGGGCCGGTCCAGGCGGCTGGTATTGATCTGCTGGATGCTGAACTTGGACACGTGGGATATTACGTGATGTGCAAATATGAAGATAACCATTTCGATATTGATGGGGAATAAAACTGTGCGAATTACTGCTACGAAAAATTGTAAATTTCATGGACAATAAACAGTAGACAATTATCAGAAATATTTTTTTCAAGAATTAAGGTGAAAATAGATCGCAAGAAAGAGATTTTTCATGCTAACGTAGCATAAGCTTCGTTTAAGGAGTAACAGGAGGCCACTGTCTTGTCAAAATATTCAAATAAATTTGTTGCACAAAGTTATTAATATTTCTTTAACCTAAAGCAAATTGATTTTCATCAGCATTTCTTGGAGATTAATGTACTTCGATTTGTAAAAATATTCATAACTTCGGACGGGAAATTTGTTCAAAAATTTAGAAAATTATCGGCATTCTGTTAATCTATAAATGAGTTTGAATAAGCTTGAATTTTAGCATGGCCAAAAAATCCGAATTTTTCAGCAACAGGAAGAAAAGAATCGTTACCGGAGACTTGTTCCCCGAAAATTCGTTCCCGGAAAATCCGGGAGCGATTTCCGGGGAGCAATTTTCTGTCATTCTGAATTTGTTTAAACATGTTTAACAAATGGACGTTGTTCAATTAAATATTGACCTGAGTTCAAAGATCCTTGTATTTGCTGATATAATGTCTGCGACTTCGGAGTTTCATGTTTATTTGTATTTATTAATTTTTTCAATCAAGTTTTTCTTCTTTTTCTTACCGTTTTTATGGAGAACATTGTTTCGGGGATCAAGTATCCCGGAACCGTATATCAGGTATTTTTCTTTTAAGTCACAGAACCTAATTTTTCGCTAGCGAACAATGGGGTTTTCGAGTTGTTGGAGAAAAGGTACAGGACAGATCAATTTTACTGGATTTTTCTTGTAATTTTTGGTCGTTTTTTCTCCGGAAATAATTTCTATTATCTTTCTTTCATCACATTGTGAATTTTCAGTGATGGAATGACTTGGAAATTCCGGGGATCTATAACTTGGAATAAATGTCTAAGAAGCTTGCCGGTAATTTCAGCCAAGATTTAAAATCCGTGTCATAATTGGTAGAATTGAAATTGCAAATTGAAAATGCCAAAAAAGCTTATGTAGGTGTCGAAATAAACATTCCAGGCACTTGTTTTCGTGTAAATTGACAACAAATTATTCAAACGATGCATTTCACGTTGTGTAGTTCCGCTCATAAAACAAAAATTAATCAATCATCTTTTATGTCTCTTCTGAGGTATTGACGAGAAATTTCCAATCATAAAATTTTCAATTTCGTCAGTATAAATCCAGTGATGACTTCACATTTTTTTGCTTCAATTGTTTTTTAAATTTCTTTTTCTAATATATAATACCAGGCTCACGGGTGAGTGTGATAAAAAAACAAAGAACATTTGAATCGTGAAATTTGCAAATCTCTGCAAATTAAATCAAATCATGGATTTATCACCATATCACGTGTTATTTTTATTGATTTTTTTACCATTGCTAATTTTCAACACTAAGTCACTTTATCCATAATACATTAGGTTTTTAGACCGCTTCTGTGATACGAATGAATTTCTTTCAATTTAAATGGGGGCTTAATTCCACAGTTCCTTATATTATATTTAACCAAAATTTTACGCCCATTGTTATTACGTTTGTGGATTAATTTTACAATGCAACAATGGCTTCGCAATTTTCTCAATCCACGTATGAAGAATTTCTAATACTACAGTATCTTGCGCGCTCCTCGCGTTATAAATATACCCGTTGGGCCTTATACCTAGTTTTTTACCATAAATAATACATGCATTCGTCGTGAATGCATGAGAAATGCAAGAAAGCATTGTATAGCCCTGTTGTTGTAATGGGTAAATTATTGAAATTAGCTAAATTCATTGGCGGGAGTCATATGTGGGTATTTATAACTATAGTTATGGCTATAGTAATACCTATGAATAAAGTGAAATTATAGCCGAATACATCGGTGATAGAAAACGTTACCTGAATTAAAAAAAAAATTCTCATGATGATTTTTTTCAATTCTTGTAATTTAGATTAGAGAAGCAAATAATTTATCTCATATGGTAACAAACACTAGTCCATCCTTTGTTATAGTTTGTAAATCAATGTTATGATGCAAAAATGACTCATCAATTGTTCCCTAATGATCCTAAATTTCTCGTCATAAAATTATCATAACAAAATAAGGAAAAATTCCACTTTCTGCTGCCACTCACATTCTAGGGAATAAGGAATTCCCGAAAGGATCTCACTACTTTGATTATCCAATGTAGACAAAGGCCTACACGTCATTAAATTGTCCTATCTGAGGCCACTTCAAAAAGAAAGTACATTACTCTTGAATTTTCTCCTTTCTTTCCCAAGAGTGACTTTCGTGTAATTCGCGAAGGTGTTGGAAACTTCTCAAGGGTGTAATTGCCATTGGGTAATAATATAACAATGAAAAAAAATGAGAAATTAGGAATTAACTGCAGAGGTTGGTGCCCTGGAACAAATGGACTTTAGAGTCGTGAAGAATGTGGGGCTTTATCCACTGGCCCAGTAGGAAAGGTAATTCGTTGGATTTAATGAGCGTGCAGACTCGTATTATCGGGTGGAACTACTTTTACCAGATATTGTCTCAGTTCAACTGGACAAGTCCATTCATAACTCTTAACTGGGGGAGGGGGGAATTATGAATTTTTTATGCCATTGTTCACGAGTGATGAGATATAAAGTGAAGAACCCATTTATGGGACACTTGAGGAGATTTAGGTAATTTGGTCATTGTGTTTTTATTGAAAGTCTTTTCAAATAAAGTCCTTTGTTTAATATTTTTCTATCCAATATTTTTTTTGCAACTGAAATGTTTTAGTTGTATGAACTAGATAATTCGTTAATTCCAAGTAAATCATTGCTGAGAATCAGATAAACAACTTATTTGATCCGAAATAATTCACTTGTAGTTCAAAGGACCACATTTTTGGTTATATTTAACAAATTATTCATTTGATGTTAATAAAGTTCGACTTAGAGTTTGAATGAAAGCTCCATTATGAGCTAAAAAAATTATGATCGTAATTTTAGCTAAGAAAATACCTCAAGGGGGGATACATTTGGCTCAAGAAATTAGGTTTGTGATATCAGGTCGTTTTTTCCTCCATTTTGTCATCAATTTTAGATAAAAAAATTGAAACTAGTCTTCGGTTGGGATCAAGGGACAACTCGGCGAAATAATACGATAAATTAATGAATGTTGTTATATTATTTCACCAAAATTTCCCTTGATCCCAACAAAACATTTATGAACATGGCGATGAATAGAATAGTTATAAGATTGTATCGAATCAGATGAAAAACAATGAAAGATCCCGAAATGACAAATATCCCATTTACAAGATCCATTTATTATGAAACAGTTGACTCATGAAAAGATTTTTGACATTTTTTTCAAGTACGAGTGGTGCACATTTAATTGAGAAAAAAATATAATGTAAAATGTTGAAAAAAATGACATTTCACTGGAAATACAATAGAATCAAACATTTTTGAGCAGCAGCAGCAGAATTCTCTAATTTACTCGAAGTTTCCTTCAAAACTTGAGTGATCATCACCAAATTACACAGAATTGTCAATTAATTACTAATTCAATAATATATTTAGCCAAATTTTCCTGATTTCATCAATTTTCATGGAATAATGCAACAAAAATTTACAATTCCCACTGATTTCGTCATCACATTGTGAATTTCAGTGGGACTGGATTGATAAAAATTTCTAAAAAGTGTATCGGGAATTTCAGTCAAAACAGTGTCGGTAGCACTGAATGCT